ATCATTCTTTCATCGAAAGGGGGCCCAGCTAGTAATCATATATAAGGGAATAGCGTTTAAAAAGTTTACCAATGCAAATGCAAATATGTAGGAACAACAATCACAGACAAGATCAAAAGTAAATGAGAAATAAACATAAGAATAGCAAATGCTAAAGAAAGATTCAGCGTAATTCTCAAACCATTTACATCTAGGCAATTATTTCTACCTTAAGAAAGAAAATGGTAATTGCTTTGTCCTCCATGTTTTCCCATATGGTAATGAGACTTGTATTTGAACAGAGAAAGAAGAAAACAAAAACTAACATCTGCATTTGAGATGTGGTGCTAACACAGAATGGACAGAATTAGCCGATTAACAACAAAACAAAAAGACTAACAGTAACAGTGAGGTGTGTCAGATTCTCCACACAAGACAAACCCTGCTTAAGGGGTGGTGCTGCAGTTAGAAAAGCAGGTTTGGGACCAAATTACACAAAATGAGATAATTACACTTTACAATTCCTGGACATGTTCTGAACAATATCTAGAAAGTACACACGCCTCCCTGCACCCTAACGTGGTGTTTGGAGAATTTTAGAGCGAAGGGTCAAATCTCCTTTAGAGAAAATATTTGCCAATTTTGTCCAAAAAAAAGGCATTCTATTTTTTCACGGTGTGTACAATTTTTCTGCTCTATGTCTGACTCGATTTCAACAAAACTTTCACAGAATATTGAAACCATACAAATCTAACTTTTTAAAAGAGGAATTACTGATAAATGGGTTGGTTATTAATCTGTGAGCTTGTTCCGCTCTTTCGCTAGAGTCAGATTTGAAAGTGCCATTAAATAAAAACTAAAGTAGATATAAAAAATTCCTCTTACAGAAAGTTTTATCTTTGTCTTGTCAGTGTGCATGCTAAGTTTGAACCTAATCTGTCTGTAAACAAGGTGAGAAAATTGTACCACATTATGTCTCTAAAATCCAATATGGCCGCTGTTTCCATGGTAACCGAATCAGTAATTTTTTTTTGACAACTGCTAACAAATCTCCATTGCCATATAATCGTCCACACCAAATATAAACTCCATGGGAGTGGTATTAGCTGAGATGGACTTATTCTACAGCACCCCCTCTTAACACAATGAAAAATAGAACAGTACAATACTTTGACAATATAAAACGCCACCAGACCATTACGAAGGAAATGCTTGAAGGCAAGATGATATGGGGCAAAAGGGCCAAGGGCGGACAAAGAACAAAGTGAACCGATAATATCAAGGAATTGACTGACCTAGGTAAGACATAATGTAAAACGGTATCTATCGACCGTACGAATACTCGGGTCATTGCACGTCAACTTCTGTGTCAGAGATGACACCTGTAGGCAGGCTTCACGAATGGACCCCTCCCTTTTTCTGTCACATTTTGATCAGAATAGAAAACTCTGACCGGTGACAGTGTTACCGGAACATAAAATTTATTGTTCTAAACATCGTCATTTCCTCCCATAACGGCTTCAAGTGCTTCACCTTCACCTTCATCTATCCTGTAGACTGGAAGTCCGTCGGGTCCGTCCTGGCGTTTTTGAAGATATGGCCACCAGCTTCCTCCACTCCTTCCGATCTTCAGCTTTTCTGAGGGTATAAGAAGAAACTTTAAGTGCAGACTGCAACGTATTCGAGATTGCTGTGATAAGAGGTTCTTGAATACCACAAACATGGATGATGTCGATAGCTTGACTTGATCTATCAGCATCGGATTCACTAAAT